AGACACACACACACACACACACACACACACACACACACACACACACACACACACACACACACACACACAGTCCACAGCCATACGTCACACCACACAGAACTGAACGATTGAACATGTTTAAGTGACACATCCACACCCCATGAAGGATGCGTGATATGTGTTAACAACAACGACAACAAAAACAACAACAACCACTCACATGAACACACACACACACACACTAGCGGTGGTTATCAACTCTGACAACAAACACAGAAGGCGAGAAAGACCGGACGCTCACATAGACGACATCATCGGCGAGAGACTTACTTGAACTCCATGGAGCACCAGCCACAGTAGGGGTCCCGGGCAGCCAGGCAGTCCGTGCACGTCGTGTGGACAGAGCAGTTGGCCACTTTCATTTTCACCACCTTCAGAGAAAGGGAAAGACAAAAGAAACAGGAGATTAAACGTTGTGCTCGTTGGAAAGAATGAAGAGCATGACAAAATAAGTTTTTTGTGAAAGGGAAAAGATAGACAAATAAAATCAATAGGGGGCAAAGTTAATTTAGGGCCTACAAGTGGTGCCCTACAACAACCCAAAATTAAACATGTAAAAGCAGCCAAAATGTGTTATGGCGCTGGTAAATAAAGAGTATTTATAGCATAGGTAAAAACAGACGGCAGACAAAGATAAACAACAGAAGGAAAAGAAAGAAGTATAATCTACCAGTGGCACCCACCCACCCACGCTAGAGTTGTCAACTGGTGTTGAAAGGTGTCAGCCAGAGAAGAGAAGTGATATCAAACAGAGACGGGAATGAATCAATGGGGAGGTGCAGGTCAGCATGCCGAGAAAATACATTCTCCAATGACCTGGGATCTCAGCCCAGAAGGATATTGACCGTGCCCGGTCCGCGCATGTACATAGGCAAGTGCGTGCGCGTGTCAGCGCTCACTAACAAGTGACACCAAGGACGCACGGATGGAATTAATGAGAATCGGTCGGGGGCAGAAAGGGAGAGAGAGAGGGAGAGAGGAGAAAGAGAGAGGGGAGGAGAGGGGAGAGAGAGAGAGAGAGAGAGAGAGAGAGAGAGA